CGATAGGCTCAGGAATCTGTACACCTGTTGATTGACGGTTGAGAGGCGGGACCAAAGAGCCAGAGCTCAACCCCCGCAAACACAACTAGGTGAGTACACGCACACACGCACACGCACACACACACACACACACACACACACACACACACACACACACACACACACACACACACACACACACACGCACACACGCACATGCGCACACGCGCTCACACGCGCGCGCGCACACGCACGCCGTCTGATAGCTGAGTGGACAGCGCTCTGGACTCGTAATCTAGGGTTGGGGTTCGATCCCCGGTGATGGCGGAAACAAAATGTGCAGAGTTTGTTTCACCCAAGATGCCCCTGTTACCTAGCAGTAAATAGGTTCCTAGGAGTTAGACAGCTGTTACGGGCTGCTTCCTGTATGTGTGTGTGTGTGTGTGTGTGTGTGTGTGTGTGTGTGTGTGTGTGTGTGTGTGTGTGTGTGTGTATGTGTGTGTGTGTGTGTGTGTGTGTGTGTGTGTAAAAAAATAGTTAGCAGTTAGTAACAGTTGATTGATTGACAGTTGAGAGGCGGGCCGAAAGAGCAGAGCTCAACCACCGCAAGCACAAATAGGTTATCTTGAGGTTATCTTGAGATGATTTCGGGGCTTTAGTGTCCCCGCGGCCCGGTCCTCGACCAGGCCTCCACCCCCAGGAAGCAGCCCGTGACAGCTGACTAACACCCAGGTACCTATTTTACTGCTAGGTAACAGGGGCATAGGGTGAAAGAAACTCTGCCCATTGTTTCTCGCCGGCGCCTGGGATCGAACCCGGGTTCACAGGATCACATGTCCAGTGTGCTGTCCGCTCGGCCGACCGGCTCCCTGTATACGTCAATACATGCACAGTAGAAGTTGTTGAATCTAATTCGATTTAAAGTGTTAAATATAAATTTGATAAAAGCGTGAGAAAAGTGTCCTTGCGTTACTCTAGGAAGGTTGGGGAGACGGGGGTCTGGGAGCCTAGCTCGGGCCTCCAAGTATCCTTGTTTACCCGGTCGATTCCTCTGAGGATTTTGTAGGTTGTGATCAGTACATCAAGATCAGTACACAGATATCGCTACCAATATTGTAACTAATATTTTGTACATATTATTAATGTAGAAATTTAATGCTTAAGTTCTCTATCTATACCCACTCCAATAGTGTTGCTTACTGTAAGTTCCAAGAAATGAACATTTAAGATCAATACAAGAAATCAATGAAAGAAATGAACATTTAAGATCAATACAAGAAATCAATGAAAGAAATGAACATAATACTGTACTTTGTAAATACAGAAACATATCGCTATGAAATGACAATGGCGGAATCTATCAATAAAAACCTTTTTGAGACAATTGAGTGACTCGTACCAGTATTCTGGTGAATCCCAGACACCTTCCTCAACCGGTTCAGGGCCTTCTTCTTGAGGTTATCTTGAGATGATCTCGGGGCTTTAGTGTCCCCGCGGCCCGGTCTTCGACCAGGCCTCTACCCCCAGGAAGCAGCAAGTGACAGCTGACTAACACCCAGGTACCTATTTTACTACTAGGTAACAGGGACATTCAGGGTGAAAGAAACTTTGCCCATTTGTTTCTGCCTCGTGCGGGAATCGAACCCGCGCCACAGAATTACGAGTCCTACGCGCTATCCACCAGGCTACGAGGCCTCCAGAACCTCTCAATGAATTCAGTTGAGTTCCGGGTTGGTCGACGTGTGTACCATCGTGGCTGAGTCGGTTAAGGCAGGTGTGTCTAGGAACCACCAGAACGCTTGGTTCAAGTCACTCAATTACCTCAACATTATTTTCACAATAACACATGTTTTGAATAACTATTGGCACTCGAAAAAGGAGAAAAGTAATGAGTGTGAACGAAACAATGAGAAGACGAACAAAGGAATCGTACAACTTCAAAACAAAATTCGTCGTAAAGAGCATGGGAAGAGGCGGAAGGTGAAAGGTTCGGGTGAAAAAAAAGAGAGAGAGAGCAGAGGAGAAAATAGGAGACAAGAGGACACTGGGGAAGAGAAGAGAGACAAAAAGGAGAAAAACAGTAAGAGGAGGGACTTGTAAACAAGTCCCTCCAAGGGCCTTGTCTTGGACTTGCAGACACGAGTAGAGGCTTGTAACAATCAGGTGGGAAGTGGGTTGTTACACTGAGTATCAGCCAAGCAAATGAACAACAACATTAACTGTAAACAATAAACAATAACAACAAACAACAACAATAACAAAAACAACCATATCAACATCTGCAACAATAACAAAAATAATACAGCAGTAACAACAACAACAACAACAGTAATTTCAATAACAAAAGTACAAGCAACAATATTATAACGTCAATAACAACAACAATATTATAACGTCAATAACAACAACAATATTATAACATCAATAACAACAACAATATTATAACATCAATAACAACAACAATATTATAACATCAATAACAACAACAATATTATAACATCAATAACAACAACAATATTATAACATCAATAACAACAACAATATTATAACGTCAATAACAACAACAATATTATAACGTCAATAACAACAACAATATTATAACGTCAATAACAACAACAATATTATAACGTCAATAACAACAACAATATTATAACATCAATAACAACAACAATATTATAACATCAATAACAACAACAATATTATAACGTCAATAACAACAACAATATTATAACGTCAATAACAACAACAATATTATAACGTCAATAACAACAACAATATTATAACATCAATAACAACAACAATATTATAACATCAATAACAACAACAATATTATAACATCAATAACAACAACAATATTATAACGTCAATAACAACAACAATATTATAACGTCAATAACAACAACAATATTATAACGTCAATAACAACAACAATATTATAACGTCAATAACAACAACAATATTATAACGTCAATAACAACAACAATATCGATAACAAAATATCAACAATAACAACAACAATAACGTAAATAATAGCAACAACAAAAATAATAACGACATAAACAACAACAATAACACATATAACAACAACAACAACAAACACAGCATGAACAGTACACACAATAACAAAAGTACTAAGATAACAAAAGCACTAAGATAACAAAAGCACTAAGATAACAAAAGCACTAAGATAACAAAAGCACTAAGATAACAAAAGCACTAAGATAACAAAAGCACTAAGATAACAAAAGCACTAAGATAACAAAAGCACTAAGATAACAAAAGCACTAAGATAACAAAAGCACTAAGATAACAAAAACACAAGGAACAAAAGTAGAGGGGAACCCCTTAAAGTCTTCAAGTAAACTCATCAGCAGTAAACTACGGTAAACTCCTCCACAACCCACCAACTGTCCACCAAAATACACAGAAATCACAATAGCACATTTTATTATTATTATCATTATTATTATTACATTAAACAGAACACACGAGCAGAATTTAATGATTTTAGATTCTTGTCTAAGCGTTCTCGAGTCAGTTGTTCGATTCCCAACTAGTTACCAAATTGCTCAATTGTACTCGCCTAATTATGGTTGCGGGGGTTAAGCTACTGCTGTTTAGTCCTCCTACACAACTGTCAGTCAACTAGCGGAGGGGTTCTAGAAATTTTTAGGTTTTATCATCTTTACATCAGAAACTCTATGGAGTCTGCATCCACCCCCATCGTTTCTTAGTGATGTGGCTCACTACATAACTTTTTGTTTATGTCTGCGTGGCCCATTTCTGTACTGTTTTCATGTCTTTATTAGTTTATCACTCGAGCTAAATAGCCTGTCCTTATCTGTCCCATCAATTCCCTCCAGAATTTTGTATATAGGAATTATGTTCTCCCAACTCTTATCTCTTTCAGTGACTGAAAGTCTAATTCAGGAGCCATCCCTCGTAAGATCATACCTGTCAATTCTGGAACTAGTCTGAAGGCATACCTCTGAACCAACCCGTTCTCGCACTTTCTTATAGTCAATATTGACTTATTAAATACATGCATATGTGACATACTAATTTATTGTGAATATTTTAGTTTACCTTGAAAAGCTTCATAGAAAACACCGACCTTACCTAACCTTCTTAGTATGTTAAGATAAGCATCTTATTGCTTCGTAATTACAATTATTACTTAACATATACCTATAATTGGTTAAGTAATAATTGTAATTACGAAGCAATAAGATACTTATCTTAACATACTAAGAAGGTTAGGTAAGGTCGGTGTTTTCTATGAAGCTTTTAAAGGTAAACTAAAATATTCACAATAAATTAGTATGTCACATATGCACTTATTTAATAAGTCAATATTGACTTAAAGAAAGTGCGAGAACGGGTTGTCTGAACTTCCAATGACTGCGTCTTGTGTTTGGACAGATATGGATTTCGCGCTGGAGCCGCACACTCCAGGAATGGTCTGACATACGTGATACAAAATCTTTATGAGCTCTTTCACAAATTTCTAATATTAGTAATAATGTTGGCTAACTTGATAATGCCACTGATGCTGGCCAACATCAGTTGAGCCTTTTGATGTTGATTCCAGAAGACAGGTTCAATGTTATCAACCCCGAGGCCTTTCTCTTTACCCCGAATCTTGAGGGATTTCATTGAGGGAATTCCGTTTGCTACCTTGTGTCCAGCCTCCTGTTTCCTACTCACTAATCCTAATCATTTCTAATCATAATTTCCTAATCACTACTTTCCATATATTCGAGTTAAACTCTTAGCTATTTGCTGGGCCACTCAGTCTGCCCAAGTCATCCTGTATTCTCTTGATTTCTTCCTCTTATCTTAATGCTATTTGTGTATCATCCGCATACATCCAGTGGAATGATCCTATTCCCTCTGGAAGATAAGATTCTTGACGTCAAGATTCTTGGCGTACTGACGGAGTTAACGTATTCTTGACGTACTGACGGAGTTGACGTATTCTCGACGCACTGACGGAGTTAACGTATTCTTGACGCACTGACGGAGTTGACGTATTCTTGACGCACTGACGGAGTTAACGTATTCTTGACGCACTGACGGAGTTGACGTATTCTTGACGCACTGACGGAGTTGACGTATTCTTGACGCACTGACGGAGTTGACGTATTCTTGACGCACTGACGGAGTTGACGTATTCTTGACGCACTGACGGAGTTGACGTATTCTCGACGTACTAACGAGGTTGTTGCCATGAACACTTTAACAAATGACGAAAAGAAAATTTTCGGTAATGTTTCCAACTTTATTAATAAAATAATCAAACATTATATGGACAAAATTAAAAACTTTAAATATTAGTTTTTTTTTCAGCAAAATTTAACAAAAGCAACGCATCAGGTTAATAGGGAAGGAGAAGATGCAGGGAAAGAAAGTTGGAAGGCCACTTTCCTGGTTCCAGCAGCCGCCAAATCCAAGCTTTCTTCACATTACAATATCCTCCCGTCAAGCACACACCGAAACTACGACGTTGGTACAACGTTCGAACAAGTTTTAACACCTAACCAGTTATAACAACCAATATAGCAAGTTGTAACAACGTTCTAATACGCCATAAACACGTTAAGCCAAGATGTAACAACTTTATTACAAGTTGTATCAAGCGGAAAATAGAGACAGTTACGGTTTGTGTTTCCATGGTTCAACAATACCCCTGCAAACCCCAACTTATGACTATCACTTCCTTACCAACACCCATCCACCCGTTACTGAATCATAACCATCCCTCTTCCCCATCCCTCTCTAACAGGTGAGCAAACATGTGCTCCAAATTACGTACTCCAATTACCTTACGCTTTCATTTCGTTATTTACCCAAGAACCCTCTTTGCCCTTCTCCTACCTGCTGCTAAATTCCCAATCTCCTTATCAATCCCTTTACTTCATATGGTTCTGTCTCACCCTATTTAACCGGCCCCCTTTTACTCCGATATCCAATTTCCAGCCCTTCACCCTGCTGTCCTCACTAGTGTGTCAAGCTGACCATGTGTGTTTCCATGTGTTTTGTGATCTTACTTCTTAGCAAGAGGTCAAAGATTTTGTGTGTGTGTCAATATTAGTGCTATCGGTCAATATTTGTTTAGGTCTGCGTTTCTACCTCCTTTGTGGAGTGACATGATCTCTGCTGTTTTGTGAGTTGGGGATTATATATATCGGGAGACATCTCCCGTCACGCAGGGTGCAGTCGCACCTCCACAGATCTCCTGTATCATCTATTGATACTGGTAATGGCTCAAATGGGCCACCACTTACGGGCTATTCATGCCCGTGCCACCTTTTGGGTGGCTTAATCTTCATCAATCAATCAATCGGGGATTATATCATTATCTTGGCTCCACTTCCTAATGATGTTTAGGGCTTGTGGTAGTATTTTTTGTTTTAGCTTCTTGATGAATAAAGACTGCCAATGACCCTCAGAGCTATTGTAAAGTGCATGGGGCATGCTGTCTATGGCGACTTCAAAATAATTTGCTGGTACTCGCATGAAACAGACGATCCCTCTTCAGCTTCAATGGTTTCAAGCCATGTTTCTTTCTCAGAGTAAAGGGTAACTATTATGTTTTTTAATAATTCATTCTGCTAAGCTCCTCTTACCGACGACCAACCCCACAATAGACAAATATATATATATATATATATATATATATATATATATATATATATATATATATATATATATATATATATATATATATATGACAGTGTCAGACCACGGAGGAAAATTGAAACAGGAATTTCCTTAAGTACTTTCGTATATTAATACATCTTCGGAAGGAGTTCTTTCACTCCTTCTGAAGATGTATTAATATACAAAAGTACTAAAGGAAATTCCTGTTTCAATTTTCCTCCGTGGTCTGACACTGTAAAATTTTAATCACGTGTTTATTTTCGTGGTTTTACACTATATATATATATATATATATATATATATATATATATATATATATATATATATATATATATATATATATATATATATATATGTGTGTGTATGTGTGTGTGTGTGTGTGTGTGTGTGTGTGTGTGTGTGTTGAATATGATCAGAAGGGTACGACTAATGATTATAAGATGAATCTTCTCAATATTACTTATGTTTTTCTTCACTGTCGAGGGTAGTTGAAAAATTAACTGTCCAAAGTTCATTTTCACACTTTATGTTCTGACGCCTAGGGAAGCGTTTCACAAGTCACTCCTTACATTTTCAAAGACAAGTTTTACATACTCTGCCAAGGCTTATATTCGCTTGGGATGAGGTGATACACGACATGATTGAGATGATGATCGAGATGTTCATCTCAATCCACCCAAGCAAGGTTGCAATGTTTAGCCACCCAAGAGGTGACACGGCCATGAAAATCCTGTACATCACAGTTTTAATTTCAGTTCAGTGGACTTACACTTCAGTAGTGTGGATATGTGCACTGGATATGTATTCAGTGTGGATTTACTGAGCTATACATATACTAAACTGTAAATAAAACTGTGATTTACGGGCTATTCATGCCCGTGCCACCTCTTGGGTGACTTAATTTTCATCAATCTGTAAAGCCATCATTTTGAAGATTATTAAATGCGAAAGGAATAAAGGAAATTCCCACCTTAATCCTACCTTCATGGTCAGACACTGTCACATTGTGTCTGACCATATATATATGTATATGTATATATATATATATATATATATATATATATATATATATATATATATATATATATATATATATATATATATATATAGAGAGAGAGAGGGGACCACCACAACCCTGTTTTGACCTCTACTGCTGTCTGTAATTAATGACCACTATTAGAATAATGGTTGGTCTGGTGCAGCCAATATGTGTTGGCATTGTTACATGTGTTCTTGTGGTGTACACGTACATGTGTTCTTGTGGTGTACACGTACATGGGTTCTTGTGGTGTACACGTACATGGGTTCTTGTGGTGTACACGTACATGTGTTCTTGTGGTGTACACGTACATGTGTTCTTGTGGTGTACACCTACATGGGTTCTTGTGGTGTACATGTACATGTGTTCTTGTGGTGTACACGTACATGGGTTCTTGTGGTGTACACATACATGGGTTCTTGTGGTGTACACGTACATGGGTTCTTGTGTACACGTACATGGGTTCTTGTGGTGTACACATACATAGGTTCTTGTTGTGTACACGTACATGGGTTCTTGTGGTGTACACGTACATGGGTTCTTGTGGTGTACACGTACATGGGTTCTTGTGGTGTACACGTACATGGGTTCTTGTGGTGTACACGTACATGTGTTCTTGTGGTGTACACGTACATGTGTTCTTGTGGTGTACACGTACATGGGTTCTTGTGGTGTACACGTACATGGGTTCTTGTGGTGTACACGTACATGGGTTCTTGTGTACACGTACATGGGGTTCTTGCGGTGTACACGTACATGGGATCTTGTGGTGTACACGTACATGGGTTCTTGTGGTGTACACGTACATGGGTTCTTGTGTACACGTACATGGGTTCTTGTGGTGTACACATACATAGGTTCTTGTTGTGTACACGTACATGGGTTCTTGTTGTGTACACGTACATGTGTTCTTGTGGTGTACACGTACATGGGTTCTTGTGGTGTACACGTACATGTGTTCTAGTGGTGTACACGTACATGGCTTCTTTTGGTGTACACTTACATGTGTTCTAGTGGTGTACACGTACATGGGTCCTTGTGGTGTACACGTACATGGGTTCTTGTGGTGTACACGTACATGGGTTCTTTTGGTGTACACGTACATGGGTTCTTTTGGTGTACACGTACATGGGTTCTTGTGGTGTACACGTATATGGGTTTTTGTGGTGTACACGTATATGGGTTTTTGTGGTGTACACGTACATGGGGTTTTTATGGCGAACACGTACATGGGTTCTAATGGTGTACACGTACACGGGTTCTAGTAGTGTACACGTACACGAGTTCTAGTGGTTAACACGTACATGGGTTCTAATGGTGTACACGTACATGGGTTCTAATGGTGTACACGTACACGGGTTCTAGTGGTGAACACGTACACATGTACATGGGCTCTAATGGTGTACACGTACATGGGTTCAAGTAGTGAACACGTACTTGGGTTCAACACGTACTGAGGTCAACAACGCTCTCGAGAAGTTTTTTGGATCAAAAGTGTCTTATAGCTGCCTAATGGAGTATTATTGTGTCTGTACTTGGTAGTAGGAAAACACTAGAATATATTCGTACGACTGAGGAGCGGTGGCAAGAAGCGCGCCTCGAACGTGGCTGGTGGCGAGAGTGGCATCACAGAGGTTTGTTGACCACGTCAGGTTTCAGACTCGTTAACACAGGTTAATGTGAAGAGCAATTCAGTGCTTGACAATCGTAGTGTGTTAAGTGTACAATCATATGTCACGGCTGAATGTTTGAGATATCAATTTTTCGCTCACCATTGATAAGTATCTATACAGGTACCCCCTCTCACCAGCCCAGCTCAATATAGATACCCTCTACTAGCCCTGTCTCATACAGATACTTCACACCTGCCCTGCTACAGATACCAGTCACATGCTCCTTACAGATACTCTTCAAGTGTGCCTCTGCCCCAGATACCCTATCATGCCCCCTTGCTCCTCATAAATACTCATACTCCACCCTGGTCCAACCCGTCCTCATACAGCCACGCACAAGTCCGCCCCTAACTTTCCCCATTCCTTATAAACACCAATAAACAACCTTCCCCCATATTAAACCTCCCACCACTCATGCTTCTTATACACGCCTCTCTCATGCCGTGTCTCATAGTTCTGAAAGATGCGCAAGAATACAATGTGTACAATGTGCAGCATCTCTTCATTTGATATGTTTTATTAATTACTAAAAATCGTATATAAATGTTGCCAGTAAAAGATTACCTTTAACAAACTTGTTTATAATATGCTGATGGTATGTGACTCATGGTACTTGTGTACTCACTCGACCATGATTCACAGGATTAAAGTTCGGTTCCGAGGAGATGCCTTGTTCATCCGGACCGAGATACTGTCGAAAATAGTCGACAACACCAGTAGACATCCGGAGCGACGGTGTCGGCGCAGAACTGTACTCAAGAGGAGGCCTGGTCGACGACCGGGCCGCGGGGACGCTAAGCCCCGGAAGCACCTCAAGGTAACCTCAAGGTAAGTGAGGAAGCTCTGGATAAGTTGT